TAACAAACCAACTTTTCACCTAGCTTTCCGCTGTCTAGCGGAGATGGTACTCAATTCGCCGCGCACTAGCCCGCGCAGTGGAGACGGTACTCAAATAAAACTTAAAAACAAATACAAAATATCTAGCAAAATATTATATGAGCGCATATGAAAAAAAACTAGGAAAAAAATATTATAAAAACATCTTGATTTATGTTTCACATGTCGGTGTGTTTTTTGAAGTCGGTCTTATTTTTTTTGAAGCAATTGAATTCTCCCAGGAATTCTCTAGGTCTGTCTCATTTTTAAAATTTTGAGACCGACATACAATCGTGACCGAAATGAATTCGCTTTTTTTGACGTTTCTTATTTGAAAGCATTTCAGACCTAACCAACGCTAATTTTGAAAAAAACCGATCGGTCTTATTTTTCTGAGTCGGGCTCATTTTCTTTCTAGTTTATATGTCGGTCTCATTTTTTAGTGAAGTACTTTTCTTTTTTTTGGAATGTGCGACCGATGAAAGAAGACCTAGAATAAGACTAGGAATAAGACCGATGACATTGCGTTAGTTGTCAAAAGCATCAGAAATAAAATTTTATTATGCGTGAAGCGATTAAATTGCTAGTTAAATTGTCTAGCCAATTCATAAGAGAAAAAGTCGATTATTGTAATTGTTTGCGTATTTGTTGTTTGTTTGTTATTTGTTGTGTACATTTTTGACGCAATTTGGCATCGCCAATATTGATGCAAGTTGAAACTTTACCGACATACAATCGTGACCGAAATGAATTCGCTTTTTTTAACGTTTCTTATTTGAAAGCATTTCACACCCAACCAACGCTAATTTTGAAAACAACCGATCGGTCTTTTTTTCTGAGTCGGGCTCATTTTCTTTCTAGTTTATATGTCGGTCTCAATTTTTAAAAATAAAACCGACTTTGAGAATTGCTGGGATTAATTAATTATTTATGGCCCAAAACTTTATAATAAATGATCACCAGCATTATTATTCATTATTAAATACAAAATATAATAATGTAATAAAAATAAAACAAATATTTTCAAAATATGTTTTTTAAATTTTTTAAGTTTTATTTGATTCTCCACTATGCGGCGAATCGAGCGGCGAATTGATTACCGTCTCCACCGAAAGCTAGGTCGGTAGTGGAAATTGGTATGTTGAACATTTGCAGAATGAAAGTGAGGTTAAGTTAATTACATTATTTTTATTTCATCGAAAATTTAATATTCCGGATGCCAAAATAAAGGGAAAGCGGTTTTAATAGTAAATTTATGAATATTTTATAGTTAAAATTTGTTAGTTTTTTTATGTGTGTAACAAAAATACCATTCTCATTAGCTGTATTTATACAGTCGAGTTGCAAATCATGTAAATATCGCGTAAATCTAAACAAATTTTGACAAATGTGTGCAAATGTCGGGATATTCACAAAAAATTTGTAAATATTTTAACTGTTTTTTGCAAATATGAAATATTTGCAAATTGTCATAAGCCCCTAGCAATGTTGTCATTTATTAACAATTATTTGTATTTTGTTAAATTTGTAATGAAAATCCGATGTCAGTAAATTTAGCATAAGTTCAACCATTTTCGATTCAAATATTGGTATAAATGGAGTTATTCTTTGAAAATATACAGCTAGTCTAGTTTGGGCTGGAATCGTATCAGGATCCTGTCGCTTTTATTTGGAATTCAATATTCAATTACAACTTCAAGTTTCACTGGAACTCATTAAGTTTACGATTTGTGCATGCGTCGATTTATTTATTAATTCTAATGAATGTGAATCTGTATGAAATACAAAACTAGTGTGGATTTTAAAAAACGTTTAATTTGTGAATTTTAAGAAATGTCGTCGACAAAGAAAGCTCCAGAACTGATCGGAAGTCGTAAATGTAGTGGAAATGTAACAACTACTAATGAACCGACACGCATTTTCCCCTCTTGTCCTGAAGAAGAAATTGTTATTAGTGGCATAGCTGGACGTTATCCTAGTTGTGATAATGTTGAAGAGTTCCGCTATAATTTGTACAATAAGGTTCGTTTTCATTGAAAAGTGTTCAAGTTCAATAAGTTTCTCTAGTTTAATGCCATCGAAAATTAAACATTGCACTCCATGTATGAAAATAATTTTGATAATTCAAAGAATTGTCATCAAAATTCCGATGTCTTGAAATTATTATGTAATTTGACTAAAGTCAAAACAAAAAAGTATACGATGAATGATGTTTTTTTTATTCCTTAAATTTATTATTCGATGCAGATCGATATGACGACAGCAAAAGAATCACGTTGGAGCAATAGTATGAGTCAAGAATTGCCGAAGCGTAAAGGTGTATTGAATGATATAAGTAAATTTGACGCCGCTTTCTTCGGTATTCATAGCAAGCAAGCGAATAATATGGATCCACAAGGTCGTGCACTCATTGAAACCGCATACGAGGCCATTCTTGATGCTGGTATTCATCCACAATCGCTGCGTGAAACGAGAACGGGCGTTTTTGTTGCCAATTGCTTTTCAGAAGCGGAAAAAAATATGGTCATTGATACGGTCGGTATTGACGGGAGCATGGCTTTGGCTGGGTAAGATCATATGCATATAATTTGCAATGTCATTTACACTAAATGTTCTAAAATATATAGAAATAATAATTTTTTTCTGCAAAATACAGATGTAGCCGGGCCATTGTTGCCAATCGGTAAGGAATAAAAAAATCTCGACTGAACTTAATATTTTTCGATTGATATTATAAAGCCGATGTTGAACCATCTTTTTATTTCAAGGATTTCTTACTGTTTGAACTTGACCGGGCCATCGTTTACCGTCGATACCGCATGCAGCAGTTCAATGTATGCACTTGATCAAGCTTTCAATGCGTTCAGAAACGGTCAATTAGATAATGCGTTAGTTTGTGGCACCAACCTAATGTTGCATCCCCTCACTACGATCAATTTCCATCGTATGGGGATTCTTACAAAAGAGGGCCATTGCCGACCATTCGATGAAGATGCATCGGGCTATGTACGTTCGGAAGCAATTTGTTCAATATTTTTGCAAAAAGCTCGCAACGCAAAACGTATTTATGCAAAACTGATTTATTCGGACACAAATTGCGATGGGTAGGTTGATAATGTTTACGGACGAGATACCATTTCCATTAATTTATTATTTCAGAGTAGTTTCGCTTGAACCTTTTTAAAACACAATTTTCTTAATTTTACACTTGCAGCTATAAGGATGAAGGTATTCATTATCCATCGGGAGAAAGACAATACACATTAATAAATGATTTTTATAAACATTTACAACTCGACCCGCGTATGGTATCATATGTCGAAGCACATGGAACTGGTAACTGAATATTTTATATCGATTTCTTAAAACAATTACGAATAAGAGGTGTGGTTTCATTTCCATTCATACAGGAACCAAAGTTGGTGATCCACAAGAGTGTGGAACTATTGATAAAGTCTTTTGTAAAAACCGTAAAGAACCATTGCTTATTGGATCGGTCAAATCAAATATGGGTCATAGTGAAGGTAGTTCGGGCATTTGTTCCATAACAAAGGTTATCTTGGCTTTTGAATCTGGAATTGTTGCTCCAAATTTGCATTTCGTTAATCCAAGAAAAGATATTCCGGCCCTTGTGGAAGGTCGCTTGAAAGTATGCTCGGAACTAACACCACTTGCCGGCAACTTGGCAGCAATCTCTTCGTTTGGTTTTGGTGGTGCAAATGCTCATGTACTTCTGGGACGATTTGAAAAAGAAAAGGTCAATTGTGGCATACCAAGTGATTCATGTCCACGATTAGTATTATGGGCTGGTCGTACAAAGGAAGGAGTAGAAAAAATATTCAACACTCTTGAAACAAAACCACTCGATGCTGAATTTATTTCGCTTTTACATAACATTCAAAAGTACGAACAGTCGGGTTTTTTGTATCGAGGATATACCATTTTGGAAAAGAATGATGTCAACAATAATAATACAGCTATATGTAAGAATCGTGTGATCGACCATTTTGATGCAATAAAACGGCCAGTTGTATGGATGTTTACGGGCATGGGATCACAATGGACTGGAATGGCCACATCAATGATGAAAATCGATGTGTATCGTGAAACTATTTACAAATGCCACGAAATATTGAAACCATACGGTTTGGATTTAATATCAATCGTCACTTCCACTGATAACACTACATTTGATAACATCAAGAATTCATTTGTTGGAATTGCTGCAATTCAAATTGCAATTGTAAACATCCTGAAAACACTTCAGATACCATTCGATTACTGTATTGGACACTCTGTAGGCGAACTCGGTTCGTACAAAATATGTGAAGTAAATGTGGAATCATGCATGTTTTGTGTTAATTTCAATTTGTTTTTTCATGGCAGGTTGTGGTTTTGCCGATGGCTCCATAACTGCTGAGCAAATGCTTCGTGCAGCTTACAGTCGTGGTGTCGTCAGTCTCGAAACAAAAGTTATTTGCGGATCGATGGCTGCTGTTGGACTGAGCTACGAAGAAGTAAAAGACATGCTACCGGAAGGCATTGAAGTTGCTTGTCATAACAGCTGTAATTGGTTGATTTTCTGTTTATTTAAAAGCATTTTACCAATTTGATCTTTCCATAATTGAAGGTAATTCGGCAACATTATCTGGACCAAAGGAAGATGTTACAAAGTTTGTTGGAGAACTAGTTAAAAAGGGTATATTCGCCAGAGAAGTACCATGTTCAAATATTCCATACCATTCAAGTTATATTTCCCAAATGGGACCAAAGTTGTTGGCCCAACTTAAAGAAGTTATTCCAGTACCGAAACGACGTTCAGATAAATGGATTAGCTCGAGTGTCCCCAAAAGTGAGTGGGATCAAGAGAAAAATCAATTAGGTTCAGCCGAATACTATACAAATAATTTATTGAAGCCAGTACTATTCGAAGAGGCAGCCAAGAATTTGCCGGAAAACGCCATTACCATCGAAATTGCACCGCATGGTCTACTTCAGGCCATTATCAAGAA